GCTGTCCCTCAGCTCTTCAGCTCAAGGCTAGCGCTCTACCACTTGAGCCACAGTGCCACTTCCGGCTTTTTTCTTTTTGCTTATGTGGTGCTAAGGAATCGAACCCAGGGCCTGAGGCATACAAGGCAAGTACTCTACCACTGAGCCACCTTCCCAACCCCCTGAGCTTTTTTTTTGCTCAAGGCTAGTGCTCTACCATGTGAGCCAGCTCCACTTCCAGTTTTTTGGTGAGTAATCAAATAAGAGTCTTATGGACTTTCCTGTTTAGGCTGGCTTTGAACTGTGATCCGCAGATCTCAGCCTCCTGAGCAGGTGAATGACAGGCATGAACCTGGCAGTCTTGTCCTTCATCTTTACCCATCTTCTATTGGATCTAATCAGTTTATGATGTTTAAGATTTGGGATCAGAGGACTTGGCACTTTGGGCTGCCAAGTACTGGCTATGTGATTTTGAAGAAATTGCTTAATCTTTCTGTGCTTCATCTGTTTACTTAACTTTATTTATTTATTTATTTGGTGGCACTATGGAGTTTGAACTCAAGGAGGCCTCATGCTCCATCATTTGAGCCACTGTGATAGTCCCTTGGCCCTGTCTTTATGGAGCTCACATTAGTTTTATAGAACAAGTATGAGGATTAATGATGAAATACAGCAGGATAGTATAGCAGAGAGAGGACTGGCTTTGGAGCCAAATGAATATTGTTTCTAAGTCCTAATTCTAAGATTGGGTGCTGGTGGCCCAAACCTGTAATCCTAGCTACTCGGGAGGCTGAGATCTGAAGATCACAGTTCAAAACCAGCCTGGACAGGAAAGTTTGTGAGACTTAACTCCAATTAACCAGCAAAAAGCTGGAAGTGGAGATGAGTTTCAAGTAACAAATGCCAGCCTTGAGAGAAAATAATTTAAAAAACCCTAGTTCTGCTACTTCTGTCCTGTTCCTTAACTTGTTTACTTTGTATGATACTCTGTATGATACTTTGTATCATACTCTGTATGATAGCTGTGTGGATTAAATGAGATAAAGAATATAAAGCTGGGGCTGGGAAGGTGGCTCAGTGGTAGAGCGCTTGCCTTGCATGCATGAGGCCCTGGGTTCGATTCCTCAGCACCACATAAGCAAAAAGAAAAAAGCT